GCTCATATCCATGCCTGGCTGGTCAGATGCTAAAGCCAGAAGGAATCCTGGATTAAGTTCTCTACCAGCATCTCTTCTTCCACCAGTTCTGATGTCATCTGGGACAGGATTTGGAAGGTCAGTGAGAAGCATGCTTTCCCTTCACTTTTGATCTTGCTTTCCAGTGGCTAGGAAGTTGCTAATGTACAGGGCATTGCTGATACTCTTGGTGAGTGCTTTTCTCACCTTTACAGAACTTCTATCTCTTTCCTTGCCTTCTTGGCCACCAGGTCATGAGCAGATAAATCACCACTTTCCTTTTGGGCAGATCATCTCTCTGATTATAATTGTCCATTAACACTAGTGAAACTTAAACTTGCTGTTCATCAGTCTGGCAGTACATTTGTCAGACCTGATGATGTTCACTATGAGATGCTGCTCCATCTCTCTCTACTGCCTCTCTTGCTCTTCTTCTGATTGCTTTTAACTTAATTTGGCAGGAGAATGTTTTTCCAGATAGTTGTCGCAAGGCTATTGTTCTCCCTTTTTCAGAGCCTGGGAAGGATCCCAAGATTCCTTCTAATTATTCTCCAATTGCTTTGACTAGCTGTATCTGTAAGGTTTTGGAAAGGGTGATTAACGCTTATTTTGATTGGTTCCTTGAATCAAACAATATCCTATTGCTCACCCAATGTGGTTTTTATAGACAGTGCTCCACTGTGGACCGCCTGATTTATCTTGAAACATCAATCATGGAAGTCTTCCTCGAGAGAGAGCATCTTGTTTCTTTCTTTTTGGATTTTGTGAAGGTTTATGACACTACTTGGAGGTTTGGAATTTTGTGTGACCTCATTTCATATGGGTTACATGGCCATTTACCTATTTTTATTTGCAACTTTTTACTTGACCTGAGTTTCCAAGTCCATGTGGGTTTGACCTTGTCCTAATCCTTCACACAGGAACTTAGAGTTTCTCAGGGCTGTGTCCTGAGTGTCACACTTTTCAGTATTAAGATCAATGCTATCACTATTCAGCTTCCTTCTACTGTTGCAAACAACCTCTATGTCAATGACTTCCACATTCCTTGTAGATTTGTAAAATATGAGGTTTATTGAGTTGCAGCTTCAGACTGCTCTCACTTGCTTGTTGAAGTGGACCACAGCAAACAGTTTCATCATCTTATCCTCTTAAACCATTTGTACACATTTTTCCCACCAGCAGGGTTTGCATTCTGTTCTGAGCTCCATCTCAGTGATGAGATTCTTCCCACGGAAGCTGAGACTAAGTTCCTAGGACTTATCTTTGACTGTAAGCTTATGTTTATTCCTCACATTAAGCAGCTTTGGGTCAAGTATACAAGCATACTGAACATCCTCTGTGTTCTCTCTTCCACCTTGTGGTGGAGCGGATCAATGTTCGATGCTGAAGATTTATCATGTGCTCTTATGATCTAAGCTGGACTATGAGTCTATCATCTATGGTTCTGCAAAGGCTTGAAGATATTCGACCCTGTGCACCATCTAGGGCTTCAGCTCTGCATGGAGCTTTCTGCACTTTACCTGTCCAGAGTCTGTACACTGAGACTCATGAACCTCCTCTTCACCATAGACATTTAGAGCTTTCTTTGCTGTATGCTACTAAGTTTTGGTCATTATCACAGCATCCCACCTGTGGTTGTGTCATTGTTCCTCAGTGGGCTTTGTTTTTTGAGAGTGAGCAGTCTGCCATTCCTCCATTTGACCTTCATATTCAAGCATGGCTGGCTGAATTGGTTCTGTTATTGGATGATGTTTAGCCCATCCCACCATAGCTCATTACCACCCTTACCTGTGACCTTTCTTTGAGTCATCTGAGGAGGATGGATACTCCCAATTGGAAGTACCATCTTCTCTTTGATGAACATCTTTCAAGCCATTCTTCTTTTGATCCCTTTTTTATGGATGGTTGAAAATCGGGAGACTCTGTGGGCTCTGCCAGGGTTTGTTATGGCTTGGTGGTTGTTCACAGGATCCCAACTACAGTTTCTGTGTTCATTGTTGAGTTGTGTGTCATTTCTTTTGCTTTGGATCACACAGAAGCTAATCAGTACACTGACTCCCTTAGTTCTCTACTGGACCTGGAATCACTTCATGTGGGTTCTCATCCTGTAATCTTAGATATTCAGAAACAACTGGCTCAGTTTCCGCTGTTATTCACTTCTATCCATATTTTCTGGATACCTGACCATGTCGATATTCATGGGAAAGAGCCTCATGACACCGCAGCTAAGTCTGTCTTCTCTGGTATTGTCACAGTTGTGCCTGTCCCGTATGTGGATTATGATCTTGTTATCAAGGCAAGGCTTCACACCAGTTTGTGATATTATTAGTTTTTTATTTCAGATGTAAAATTCTAAAAAAACTGTTTCCAGATTTTTACTTGTAATCCTCATACCCTGTGATAAATGATCGATTTGACAACATATAAGATTATTCAGAATAATCATTATTTTAAGTATTTCTTAACCATAGAGATGTTTTCTTACATGTAAGTATACAGGCTAAGCACTACATTGAAATGTAAAGATTTTGTTGAAAAAATATTTCCAGTTTACTGAAAAAGTCATGTGGAATTGCAACAGTAAAATGAGAAAATATTTGAAAATAATGGAAAGTTTTCCAATTATATTTCAGGAAAACCATGAGATATACGAACATTGCTAATACTCGTAACAATTTGAAAATGGTTTCAGTAACAATATGAGTGTGAATCTTTGCATAGTTGGCTTGGTGACCTGTTATGGCATGTTTTCAGCTTCTGATAAGGTACAAGTTAACTTGTTGTCCTGTTGGCAAGCTGAAATAATATATTCAATAAATATTTTTTGTTACACATTAGAGGAGTCCTTAGCTCTGGCCAAAGTACACAATTTGGGAGAAAGATGTAAGTTGGGATAGTTGAAGTATTCTTATGGGATTTTAAATGACAAAGAAATTGTTAAGTTGTTAGTGCTTTGTTCAGTAATGCTCAGTCATTTAGAATTTATCATAATCTTTATTTATTTGCTTGCATAAGCATTTTTCAGTAGCTGAGTTGTTAACTGCTATTACCAGAATAATTTTGTACAACTTTTTACTGGATTTTTTATAAAATATAATAAAACATTTTGATAATAAAGATAGAGAAAATAAAATGTCCTTTACTCTTCAGATAAAAAAAAAAACTAGTACAATCAGTGTTTCACTGTTGCAGCTTCATCATAGCTATTAGCAAAAGAACTTGTATTGCTAGCCCTGATAAAGGCTGTAAGAGCAAAACATTCACTGAAATAAAAATTTTTCATGATTATCTGGAGAGTAAAGGTCGTTTTTTTATCAAACTTTATTGCCTAAATGTCTGAATTCCTCTGGTATAAACTACAAATTCTGAAAAACAACAAAATGAAGAAGAAAGGTCCACCATTTGAAAGCACTAGGTTTTTTGTGTTAAATCGATTTCTTGAACCTGTGTATTTTCCTAGCATCATAAATGATAAAACATTAGTTATTTAGCTTTGTTGTATTTCATGTTCTGTCAAAATCAGCAAATTAGATCTTTGAAAATGATAGGTCCTGGAAAGTCCTGCGTTGTTTTTCCATTAACCTCTGCAAACCAAGTAAATCATCTTATTTCTTCTACGACATTTTCTTTGGTTAGCTATTTTTTTACGGATTGGCCTAAGTTCGTAGTAGAAGCTAACACAACAATTTCACTTGCCAACTTCTCTTATGAATGTCTCTTTCTTGTATCTCTATTTCTTCCTCAAAACACAAACTCAGTATCCACAAAACAGATCTATCTAACTGTCTTACAGCAACAGACAATTGACTGGTAAGTCATAAACTCAATAATCAGTTATTCACCATAAAGTACTCAAAAGTCAGTCGTTATCTATTCTAGCCAAACTTGTATTTTTTTACTATTGAAATCATTTCGTAAATGTTCAAAATGGTTCTAGCTATTAACCCACTTGCTTCATGTGACATCAAATCCTTTCTCTGGTGAAACAACAGTACAAACTTTTTAAAACACATGAATTATTAAAAAAAACATCTTCACATACTCTGTGAATGAGTAACAGTACTTGAATTTTAAATTATAATCAATAGATATAATTACATTTTTTATGAACTTGTAAAAGATGTTAGACTACCTGAACTTTGATGGTCTGATTATATATGTGTTCTGTGAAGTAAATATTCATCAGTAAGTAACCTTTTTATTATTCTTTGGGACATCATCTTTGGGATGCAGTTTTTGCACATAAAATAACACTCACATATATTTTCTTTATTGTTAAAGATATGAAAAATATAGATAATTATCTGAGCTTTATTGTAAAAATCAAATGTTGATAAATAGTTCTTAAGAGTAAAATGTTCTAGAACTTCATTTTTCATCATCTAGTGTTGACTTACCACTTTTATTTCCACTCTTTGTTGTTATCACTAATTGTTACCACATTTTCATTGGATATTGATGCATGCACTTGAGAAAATTTTTATTTCTCTATTTTTTTACTATTTCACACTGCTAAGCCTAATTTTCTATCATTAATGTATAAAAATATTTGAGAGATTACATGAGTTTATTGGTAAAACAAAATTTTTTGGACTCACAGAAAAAACATCAGAAAAATAATAAAGAAAGTGTCACAAACTATTTTTAAGTGATTTTATTTGTTTATAAATTTTACATTTATATCAGTGTCATAATTATTTATTTAATTAACTTTTCTAGGTTCTTAATTAATTTGTCTTAGACGACTGCACATGCACCCACACATACACAGTGTTGACTGGATTCTTAAGCCAGTACTGAAATAATTCAAGTAAAAAGTGTATAGGAAAAATTCTGTTGAATGTAGCCACATACATCAGAAATTTAACACAAATATCAAAAATCATACTTAATGGCTACAGTTAAAAACTTAGTTGAATAAGACATTAGATTCAAATGTTATATACATTAAATTATATGTAAATATTTTATTTTAAAACTAGATTTGTCACGCGGACTTACAGACTCTTATGCCTTAAATCAACCACACCAGAAGAACTTTATACCAGAAAGGTAAGTTTATTTAATTCATATTTCATTAATGTTATATGTTAACTAGACCCATGAACTATCACTATTTACTTAGTCTTCTTGAAGCATCCGGACTTATATTGCTTCAGTCAAAAACTTCAGTAAAGCTTCTGGTTGGTTGAAGTTATTGTGATAAAACTTGAGCTTGTGATAAAAGAATCTGAGCTAACAAAGGTTTATGTATAAATAAAGTAAATTAATAATTTTAAACACCCTCCAATTAAAAACAATGATTTATTCACTCTTACATTATATTTTATTAAGTGATGTTTTGGCCTTAAAGACACTTCAGTAAAAATCCTTTAGAGTGTTTAGACTTAGTCATCTTACCATGATGATTGTGTGGTAGGGGTTCTTTATTTAAGTATTGTTACTGTGATTCAAGTACAGTAAAAGCCTGGATTTAAGTATAGCTACCATGCTCTGAACTTAGGCAGTATTACGAGACAAAACTTCAGGAGTAGTATTTTATTTAAGTATTGTTACTTTAACAACGCACAGTAAATACTCTGGATAGTACAGTATAATTACCTTGATTAAAGTACGGTAAAGGCTCTGGATTTAAGTAGTGTTACAATGTAGAAAGTACAGTATAAACTTTGGATTTAAGTTGGTTACTATGATGAAGTCTATTAAAAATAATTCTGAATTTAATTAGTGTTACCATGATAAATCATAATGAAATATTTTCTTAGAGCTTATTCAAGAAAATCAATTAAAACATATTCAGTTAGCCCATTATCACATTCACATTATTAACTAAAGAATTAATATCTTCTAGATGTTTGCATAAAGATAATGTGTTGAAAGAGTTAAAATGTAATTAAACTGTTAGTTTTGTTGAAGAATCTTTTTATTGATTTAATATTGATATTAAGAGTCTAGGTAGTCTTTTTGTTTTTTTTTAGCCTATCATAGAACTTACCAGTTTCATACTACTATTTAAATAGTGTCATATCCAGATTTCTCAAGCAGGATATAATTAGTGTTTCGGTGTTATTAATAATTAAAATGTGTATTTCCTGGTTATAAGAATTTTCACATCTTACTTCAACAATCTGACAATGTAGATTATTTTTATAAACACTTTCTGAATAAGCATCACTACTCTCCTCCAACATGCCTGAATGTCCAGTGTTTGTTACGGAAAGTTAATTTGTCTTAACCCTAAATTAATGACTTAATGAGGCCCAAATTGATACTAAAGTTATAGACTGTAATCTCTCAAAATTACTTAGATTTACTAAAAATATGCTAGGATGATAACTGTGGATTAGGTCTCCCATTTTGTGAAGAAGAAATATAGTCACTTTTTCACTTGGAAATTATTCGGCATTCTTTGACTTTCCATTGACCAATATGTTCCATTTTCTGACCCAAAGTCTATTGTTTTTACTTCATGATTTCCTGTTTTAAAGCATAGAAAACAAATGTAGAAAATTATGAAAATATCCTAAAATGGTCCTCTATCTCCTATTAGCTACAACGGCAAAGAGGAAAGGTGTTTCAAATGCAATAAATATAGTTGATGTGGATATAAAAGAAAGTTATCAATGAAAAGGGGGGCAAAGAAACTTTCCAATAAAATAATACAAAGAAAACTAGAAATGAAAAAGAAGAAATTTTCTGCTTTTTTCTACCTTGAATGCAAAAGTTGCTGTCATCTTGGATCTTGAAGATGGCAGTGTTAATGTTAAAGAACATTTTGTAAAAGTCATCTTGTTCACATTGTCTTTTACTACTGTTAATCAAATACTTCTGATTTATTTTTATACTGAAATGTCTAAGTTTCTGGCCAAGTTTACTTCAAAAATTGCAATTGACCCTTTTCAGAAGAGATCACTTATACAACCAGTTTGGAAGTTGTATGAAAATCAGTTTCAGTTTTTGTATTGATTTGGGATTCTTTAGAGTTTATACCCAAGTTTATATAATATAATAATCAAAAGGAAAAATGAAACATGATTACTACTGGATCTGGCTATGTCATGAATTCAGAATTAAAGAAGTTACATAATTTTGTAGAGACCTTCAGATTTATGTATTTAATCCTTCCCACACCAGTGAGTACTTTACAAATGTTCTGTGCTCATCTGCATACCATACTTCAAAATTTAAATAAAAATAATAATTATGACTGTATTTTAACAATTTTTTAATCAAAAATATTTTGGAATTAATATTTTGTGATTTTGTAATATTTATTTAATATAATTTGTGAAGTAAAATGAAAAAAAATTTCAAACTTACATTTCTGCATAGATCCAGAGAAGAGCCTTGCCTGTAAACAATACACTCACTGAATTAAGTATTAGAAAGAACTATGTTTTTTTAAATTTTACACAAGTTTTTTTATCAGTTGTACACAGTAAAACTTTTGTTTATTTCATTCAAAATGTTTTGCCCGGTTTACCTGGCATCATCAGGTGAGATATAAGAACTGAGGCTAACAGAAATTAATGTAAAAAATGAATCATGAGAATCTATAGCAGTACTAATCTACAAACATGTGACTAAGCAAATGCAAACTTAATAAAGTAATTTATCAATGAACTGTCAAATTTCGAAATATGTAAATAAAGCTTTTAGGCCTGAGTCTTAAGTATTGAAATTTCTTCTATATACAAAAGAGCAAGGAGCATTTAAAATAGATATTATTATGACAGTGGAAGTCACGCGATGCTGGCAGCATGCACGCTGGAGTTTCTCGAAGGATCATGAATTTTCCTGGCAACTAGTTTGTTCGAGGCACCCTCTTTTTTAATATATAAGCCCAGCAAATAAAGCCAGCGATCGATATATATGCAGATAGATCGAAGAGATAGATAATCAAGTCAAGCGAACAGTAGGCACCATAAGTAAAGTGTGTGAATCACTATGATTTATAGTGTGTGTTATAAAGGTTGTTAAGTTTAAAGTGACTGTGGAAATTCTGTGTATTACAAAGTTGTATGGAGAAAGAATAAACTAGTTTTAATTAAGAAAGGACTTGTATCGCTAAAGTTCGTCAGAAACAATTTATACTGGAAATTAACAAACAAGCAGATATGTAACATATTAGTGTCAGTGAGTAGGACGAAATGGAAACAAGAATTGGCAAATCAAACTACGACTAAGCAGATTTGATGGCAGCAATACAAGAATAGCAAAAGAAACAGGAAGAACGAGGAAAGAAACAAGAAAAGAGACTACAGCAATGGTTGGAGGAGAAAGAAAAGAAACAAGAAGAACCAGAAAAGAAACAAGAAGAGAGATTACAGCAGTTGTTGGAGGAAAAAGAAAATAAACAAGAAGAGAGATTACAGCAGTTGTTGGAGGAAAAAGAAAAGAAACAAGAAGAGAGATTACAGCAGTGGTTGGAGGAGAAAGAAAATAAACAAGAAGAGAGGCTGCAGCAGTGGTTGGAGGAGAAAGAAAATAAACAAGAAGAGAGGCTACAGCAGTGATTCGAGGAGAAAGAAAATAAACAAGAAGAGAGACTACAGCAATGGCAACTGGAACAAGAAAGGAAACAGGAAGAAACTCTACAACAACTGCAGGAAAGTCAGCAACAGTGGCAAGAAGAACAAGGAGAGAGAGTACAACATCAGCATGAAATACAAATGGAAAAGATTAGTATATTTCAAACTGAATTAGATACATTAAAGGACGATTTACTGTCTTTTCACAGGGAAGATATATTACCCATGGACCTAATCAGCCCCAGACAACTGGAAGCCACTTCCAGACCCTGCAGCTAAACCCTAATGCAGACATCTTCAGTCCTGCCATAATTCACATTTCAGACATGAATGTCAGCAATAGGGGTGATCCAGTATGAAGGAAGCCACAGGAATTCGATGGGAAGGCACCATGGGAAGCATATCGAGCTCAATTTGAGCTTCTGATGAATGGATGAACAGAGGAGCAGAAAGCAGTGTACCTGGCAACGAGCCTGAAGGAGAACCACTGGTAATACTTGGACAGTTGTTAGCAGACGACAGGCACAAATATAGAGCAGTGGTAGCTGCTCTAGAACTCAGGTATGGAACTCAAAATCAGTCTGAAGTCTACAGGGCTAGGTTTAGGACGAGATTCCGTGCTGAAGGGGAGAGCCTGCAAGAGCTGGCACAGGATTTGGAAAGTATGGCACACAAAGCCTACCCAACTGCACCACCCGATGTCCTCAAGCTGTTTCTGAGGGATCACTTTGTAGATGCCTTGGACAGTCCACAACTGAAGATACAAGTAAAACAAGCACACCCCTCTACTATGCAGGATACAATGGCCAGAGCTCTTGAATTTGAATCCTACGTTAAATCCAGCACAGAGGTACCAAGATTGGTACAGTCATCAGGATTCAAGGCCAGAAAAGGTCAGCTTTCAGAGAGGTTTGAGGGACTTTGCTGGCACAGTAATAAACCTGGGCACAAGAGAGCTCACTGCTGGCAACATCAACACAGGGAAGATGCTACGGCAGGAAAGGCTGCTACCCAGAAAGGTTGTTGGAACTGTGGAGAACAAGGACATATGAGGAGCCAGTGTAAGAAGAATATTACCAATAAGTCAGCCTCAAGGAAACCAGTAGTGGTTC